GTTCTTGGCAAAGATACTGGTTTGCCATTTTCTTCTCCAGCTTTTTTTTTACAGATGAGGAAACTGAGGCAAACTGGCTTAAGCGACTTACCCAGTGTAAGATAGCTAGTAAATATCTGAGGCTGGATTTGAACTCAGGAAGCTGAGTCTCAATGTCAGATTCCCTGAAAGGATCTAATATTTTATTGGGAGATAGGAGGCGAAAGTTGAAGAACAAAGAAGGATAATACAATGTGTATGTAAATAGCAAGCTTTTACCTAGGTACAGCAAAGTTATTTCAGGAGGAAGAGCACTAACACTTGGGATAGGGGCTCAGGAAGGACCTTACACATCAAAAAACTGGTAAATGAGCTATGCTTTGAAGAAAGTTAGGGCAGAGGTATAGAGGAGAGGGAGTATATTCCAGATGTGGGAGGTTGTCTAAGTAAAGACATAGGAGGCAAGAATTAAAATGTAGTTAGTAAATTCATTTGGCTGGAATGGAGACTGTACAAAAAGGACAATGAAAGAAGACTGGAAAGGTAGGTGGGAGGCTTTAAGTACCAGTCTAAAGATTTGGAGATTTAACCTAGAGTTAATAGGGAGCCACTAAAGATTTTTGAGAGAGTGAGTGACTTGGTTCAGTCTGTGTTTTACCTCATTGTTAGCCTAAACTCCTCAACCCACATATCTACTCAGTTTCTAAATCTTGCCATTTCTGCCTCCACAACATAACTTCTATCTATCCTCCTTTCTCCATTGACATAACCACCACCCTAATTCAGGTCCTCATCATCTTCTTGTCTCAACTATTGCAGTAACCTTTCAAGTGGTGTCCTTGTATTAGCTCTGCTCCCTCTTCAATGTCTCCTTCACACAGTTGCCAAAAGGATTTTGTTTTGTTTTGTTTTGGTTTTGTTTTTGCTTAGGCAGTCATGGTTAAGTGACTTGCTCAAGGTCACACAGCTAGTAAGTGTCAATTGTCTGAGGCTGGGTTTGAACTCAGGTCCTCCTGACACCAAAGCCAGAGCTCTATATACTGTGCAATCTAGCTGCCCCCAAAAATGATTTTCCTAAAGCCCAAGTCTAACCTTGTGTCTCCTCTACTCAATAAACGCCACTGACTCCCTGTTAGCTTCAGGATCACATGGAGATACAATATAATTGCTGGGTCCCTCCCCATTACATATTTTGAGGAATTTCTGTGATTTTTCCCAAATGCCTGGGTGTGTTAGCAAGATTCTTCTCATGGACAAATGCTTCATTTACACATATTCCAAGAGTCTTGTGAATTTGGGCTCTTTTAACTTTGGCAATGCTGCATTTTGACAGATTGTACCCTTCAACTTATGCTTTCATAAGTCTTTCTTTTAAAAACTGGAGTCTACATTTGTCAATCATACAGAATTGAGATATACATTGAAAATACTGGAGAAATATTAATTTAAATGGCAAGTAGGAAAATTAGAATTAGCTCCACCAGTTAACTACTTTGCTGACATTAAAAACCCTTCATAACCTGGCCCCTTCTCATCTTTCCAGTCTTCTTACACACACACGCGTGCATGCACACATGCACGTGCACACACACGCACACACACACACACACACACACACTGAGCAATCCAATGACACTGGCCACCTTGCTATTCTTTAAAGAAGTTACTTCATTTTATATTTCCCTGGTCATCCTCCATGCCTCTCTTTGCTCACCTCTGCTCCCTCCCCTAGCTTCCCTGATTTTCTTCAAGTCTCAGCTAAAATCCTACCTTCTACAGGAATCCTTTCCCAATCTCTCTTAGTTCTAATGCCTTGTCTTTGTTAATTATTTCCCATCTATGTGCAAGTAGGTAGAATAGTGGATAAATTGCCAGGTTTGGAATCAGAGTGACTCATCTTCATGAGTTCAAATCCAGCCTCAGACACTTAATACTTGTGTGAACCTGTGCAGGTCACTTAACCCTGTTTGCCTCGGTTCTTCATCTGTAAAATGAGCTGGAGAAGAAAATGGCAAAGCACTCCAGTATCCTTGCCACAAAAATCCCTAAGGGGTCATGAAGAGTCAGACACAGCTACAGTGATTGAACGCTTCCTATTGCTACACATTGTTGTTGTGATTTCCCATTTATCTTGTCATACATATTGTTTACATGTAGCTGTTTACATGTTATCTCCTCCTTTAGACTGTGAGTTCCTTGAAGGCAGTGACTGTCATTTACCTTTCTTTTTATCTCCAGCGCTGAACACAGTACCTGCTACGTAGTAGGTGCTTGATAAACATGTTGCCTGACTGATTGCACTAGGAACTTATCTTTCATGTCATATAGTAAATCATACACCATGGTCAGGACATATACAAAGAACAGAGGTAGGTAGGGTTAAAGTTCATGAGGAGATATATTTACACACAGAGGATAAGAAGGATCAAAAGGAGAGGAGCTCAAAGTGAAAGCCAGACAGAGCAGTAAGGATGCCTTGGGCAGGATTTCATCAGACTGCTCTTGCTAGGATGGATTGAAGTAAGCAAAAGCAAGGCAGTTCTTGAGCTTCTCAGCCCTCAGGAAAGGTAAGAGACCTTTAAGAAAAGTATGGGTAGGCAAGTACTCTCCTTTCCAAGCCAGGGAAAAAGATTCTATGGAGTCATCCTGCTCAGGAAGCAGCAGTAAGAAAAGGGAAAAATCAACAAGCATCCATAGCCAGAGAGAACAGGAAAAAAAATCTCAATTCTCAGAATAGATCTATATTTCAAACTGTAAAATCCTTAAATATTATAACCCATAACCTTCCCACAGCATAGGAGACTTTTCTTTGGCTGTTCCCATCCCAGGACTTGTCTTCCTGAGTTAAAATCTAGCCTCAGATACTTACCAGCTGTGTGACCTTGGGCAAGTCACTTAACTCTGTTTTCCTCAGTTTTCCATCTGTAAAATGAGCTGGAGAAGGAAATGTCAAATCACTGTAGTATTTCTGCCAAGAAAACCACAAATGTGGTCACAAAGAGTTGGACACAAGCGGAAACAAATTAACAACAACATGCCTGGAATGCTTTTTCTTCTCCACTCCGACTACTGACCTAAAATTCATAGGAAGCCTCTCCTAACACCTCTTAATCCCAGTGCTTTCCCTCTTTGAATTATTTCCTATTTATTCTGTATAGAGCTTACTTTGTATATATTTGTTTGCATATTGTCTCCCCATAAGAGTGTAAGCTCCTTGAGAGCAGGGTCTGTCTTTGCCTCTTTCTATATCTCTAGCCCTTAACACAATGCCTGACACATAGTAAGTCTTAATTTTTATCGAATGAATGAATATCTTTTACTATTTAAATCTATCTGCACTTGCAAGCATTTGTTTCCTACATAGAAAAATTAGATGGCTTTATAAAAAATAACAATAATTATAGAATGCTTTAGTTATCTTAATCCAAACATAACACTTACTGTGGCTGCAGTATATTTTTCATGAGCACACTAGTAAGCAGCCTATTTACAAGAAACACCCTTTAAAGGAGACCTTTTAAGATGGGATTTTATTATGCTAAGAACTTTTTTTTTTGTGGTTTTGTTTTTTGTTTTTGGTTTGTTTGGTTTTTTTGCTTTGTGGGATGCCAAGACAAAAGAGTTTATCAAGTGATCAGTCTACTGGTTATGAGCCCCTTCATATTAAGTTAGGCTCTCATCAGAAAGTGGACCTCACCTCTTGTCAAAATCTGACTCTAAGCCTTTGTAGTATGATAGATTCTGCCAGAACTTGTGCTCTGTGAGTATAGCCTTTGAGGGCCAAGCTCGCTTCCATACCGTGGTGAGACACAGAGCAGGATTTTTATGCGGGTTGTCACCTCCCATTCAAAGAGCACTAACTCTGAAGTCAAAGGACCTACATTCAAATCTCGCTTCTGACACCCTGCCTGGGCCTCCATTTCCTCATCTCTAAAATGAAGGGATTGGACTAGATGGCCTCTGAGAGCCCTTCCAGCTACAGATATATGATCCAATAAAATGCTAAGAGTCACAGGGAAATTTGTTTTTTTCCTGCTAGTGGATCATTGGTGTGGGAACAGAGGTTTGTATCTTAACATAGACTTAAAAAGGTTTGGGATACCCAGGTCTCATTCAAGAAAACAGGGACCTCACAACAAAAGAGTAAAGCAAGCTAGCTTTATTAATAGGACATACTCAAAATATGAAGGGCAGTCAGGGAGGGTAGTGGAAATAGGACAGGTCTTCCTGTATGGAATTGTATGCACACCAATGGGAGCCCAGAGGGAATGAAGCACTCAAATAAGTAAAATCTGGGGTTTTATTTTTTTTTTTAATAGAGTTATTTCTGTATCTAGTAGGATCAGGAATTTGGGGAAGGGAGTTAGGAGCCTGGACTTAGGAAATGTTGCTGATTTATGCTGATGGGGCTGGGGAAGGAAAATTCCTGGGGAATTGGTGGCTCCTTGTTACTACAACTCCCTGCCAACGGGTCATTACCACCGATCTTACTCTGACCAGGGACTCAGGGATTTTGTTTCCTTGTACTTCTTTGTTTTGTGGGGTGGAGAGGCCACTGGAGTCATTAGGAAGTTTCTTGGAAGTTTACTGAGTTTCAGATGGAAAGTACACTGTAGCAGTACCCATAGGAGCACAGGATTGTTGATCTAGAACTGGAAAACTCAGAATCCATTTAGTCCAATCCAGTTGGGAAATTGAGGCCTAATAGATTACACAGGTAGTAAGAGTCAGAGGCTATGTAACCAGGTCCTCCAACTACAGAGTTAGTGTTCTCTCTGTGGTGCCATAAACCCTGAAGTCTAGACCTGACTTACACTATGATTTCTATAAGTCTCTTAGTCTGTCTGAGCTTCAGTTAACCTCGTCTCTAAATGGAGATAATAATACCTGCCCTGTCTACTTGATAGAGTTGTTGTGAGTACTTAATGAGATATAGTGTTGGAAAGGTTCTTTGAAAGGTATATAGAATGTTATTCAAGTATAAGGGATGATTTTATCATTCTTTCTGTATTTGTTTCTAGTTTCCGCTGGTGGCTGAATTATTCCAAGATGATAAGGACACAGCACCTGCTACTTCTTCATCTGGGAAGGGGGCATCTTCAAAAATCAGTGTGCGCTCTGCTAGACCTCCCATGAAGGCTGCCAACAAGGAGCACAAGAAAACTGTGGGGCATCAGGTCAGTGTCTCCTGACTTCATGAGGGGCAGAAAGGGCTATGAGATTCACCTGAATTTGAGTCCTTGTGAAACTCATCAGAATAGTGATTTTTTGGTCACATAAAGCAGGCCTAATAAAGATAGGGGGAGAGAGAGAAAGAAAGAGGGAGGGAAAGGGGGAAAGAGAAAGGAAGAGAGGAGAGGAGGGGAAGAGAGATACAGAGAAATACACAGAAAAAAATAAAGAGAGAGTAAAGGAAGAGGAAAGAGAGGAAGAAGAGGGAAAAAGGAGAGAAGAAGAGGAGGAAGAAAAGAGGAGAAGGGTAGAGAGGGAAGGAGAGAGAGCAAAAGAGAAGAAGGAGGAGGGGGAAAGGGAGGGAAAAGAAAAGAGAGAAGAGAATGAGGAGGAGAGAGGAAGGAGGGAGATGGAGAAGGAGGAGAAGAAGGAGGAGGAGAAAAGAAAGAGAAGAAAAGGAGAAGGAGGAAGATTCTACAGCTGAGATTTAGTTGAAATAGAGGATATCCCAAAAAGAACAGAGAAAACTCTCTTTACCAGTGCAGATCCTTACCTTCTCTGTAACTTGATGATTTACAGAGTTTCCTGGAGCACTGAGAGGTTTAAATCCTTTGCCCAGGGTCATATAGACAGCACTTGTTAGAAGTGGGACCTAAACTCAAGTCTTCCTGACACTGAGATCACTTATCAGTCCACTTTGTCACTCTCTCTCATATTTATATATAGGCAGAAACAATCCCATCATTATAACCAAATGTGTGTGTTGAACATAGATCCTTTATAGGTAGAAATTACAAGGTATTTTATGGAGGACACTTACTTGTAGAGGAGAGAGAGGAGGAGAGAAAAGTCCTTAAAACCTGGAGAAAAGACTGGACACTGGGTCAGGGATGAAGAAAGTCTAAATAACATGACATGAGAAATGTTCAAGAACAGTTTAAATAAATGCAGGAGTACAGGAAGAAGAGTTCAAACCCATTGTCCTACCAAGAGGTTTTGACTCTAAGCCTAATATGTGTAGTGGGGCTCGGCATGTCCCCCCCCCGAATCCTTCCATGATCCAATAGAGGTTCTGGCTTCTGTTTATTCTTAGAATCCTTGAATATGAATAAATAGGTTCTCAGCTATCCTGCTTACCAAATACCTCCCGTGTAATATCAGAAAACCAAGTCACCTCCAGTACCAGTAATGTCAATTCCTTATAATCAAATTGTGTTTTCATGTCCATCAAATCTCATTTGATCTCTGCAAGGAGTTGATGATATAGGTAAGACAGTTATTATTTCTGCTGTACAGAAGGCCTGGAGAGTTGAATTGGTCTATCCTAGGTCATACAAAAAGTCTAGTGGCTGATGGGTGACTTAAACCACAGTCTTGAAACTCCTAATCCATTACTTTTTATATTAAGCCACAATTCTGGTTGTTTGATTGATTGTTTTAAGGGTAATGTCTGTTCCTTTCATCATTCCCAGTTCCGCACCTCCTTGAACCTGCTTATGGAGACACTGAATGCCACAACACCCCACTACGTCCGCTGCATCAAGCCAAATGATGAAAAGCTTCCCTTCCAGTAAGTGCTTCTTTTGTGATAGCCCTGTACTTCTTGTCACTCAGAATTCAGATTGGATTAGAGCCCATGTACTCTAAGGAGAGTTGAAGGGCCAGAGAGAGCAGAAGGGAAATGTGTTTTTGGATACAGATGTGGAATATAAAGCTGAGACACAGCTTTGTAGATTGAGGTATGTGGTCTTCAGTCAAGTAACTAGTGCAGAATGTTCACCAATAGCAATTCGCAAATTTAGTCTAAGCCAGTGAGGATTTCTGGAGCTCCCACTATGTGCCTAGTTCTCTGCATAGCACTGTGCACAATACAAAGGAAAGGGAAACCAGGTAGTGCATTAGAGGACCAAAAAAAATAGTACTAGATTTGGAGCTAGAGGAACCTGAGTTCAAATCCCATCTCTGTTGCTTACTACTGGTGTGACCCTAGATAAATTGGTTCATATCTTTGGACCCAAGTTCATCCATAAAATAAGACCTACATGGTCTTTAAGATGCCTTCTAGCTCTAAATCTATAGCCTGGTCATCCTAGGGAGACAGTATTTCACTGACCTCACAGATCTTGTTTTATTGGAGGGATAAAGATGGACACACTTGAAACAGAGCTTTGCCAAAACACTGTATGTTTAAGCACTAAAGTGACTGGTACAGATCATGAGTGCTGAATTGGAAGTGGGAGGGGGAACTCACAGAGAATAGAGTGAGATATTATGATATAAAAATTAAATATGTTAATGAAACATCAAAGTAGATAGTGAGTGCTAAATACAAAAGTTGGAGAAATCACTGTGGACAGGAGTAGTCAGGTGGTGCAGTGGATAGAGCACTGGCCCTGGAGTCAGGAGGACCTGAGCTCAAATCCAGCCTCATACACATAACATTTTACTAGCTGTGTGACCCTGGGCAAGTCACATAACCCTATTGCCTAGAAGAAAAAAAAAGAGAGAGAGAGAGAGGGGACTTCGGTGGACCTTGAAGGATGAGTAGGATTTTGATAAATGACATGAAGGCAGAAAGACCTTTTGGAATGGGGACGGAGGCAGCAGCACAAGCAAAGGTGCAGAAGTATGAATGAGGATGGCATGGTAGCAGGATGGACATCCCACCTTTTGATCAACTGCTTAAGAAGTATGGTACCGGGGCAGCTAGGTGGTACAGTGTATAGAGCACCAGCCCTGGATTCAGGTGGACCTGAGTTCAAATCCAGCCTCGGACACATAACACTTACTAGCTGTGTGACCCTGGGCAACTTAACCCCATTGCCTAGCCAAAAAAAAAAGAAGTATGGTACCAAAGGTTGGATTTTTCCCATTTTCATTCAAATTCTTTCTTACTCTTCTGTTACCTGATTTCTCTTTTAGAGGATCTTCTTGAGGTTTCTTTCATCAGTCCCTACCGTTAAATTGAAGTTGGCCTGCGTAAGTCCAAATGGAACTGGCCTTTGGAAAAGATGGTGGGGAGGGCACATGCAAGTGAGCCTTCCCTGGTTGGTCCTGCCCTCTCTTCTTCCCCTGCTTTTCCTCTCCTGGTTTTTGAGATATGCTTAGGAATTTTCACTGCATGACATCTGTTCCTTGGCTGACTCCAAACGAGGAGGGGTAGAAAGGCTGTTAGAGGAGCAGCATGTATGAAGGACAGTGTCTGTGAAAGGCATGAGGCACCATGCAAAGAGCACCAGGATAGGAGTCAGGAGGCTTCCATTCCAGCCTGAATAACTGTCACTGATTAGTTGTGTGACTTTAGGCTTGTCACTATACCTTTTCAGGCCTTGGTTTCCTTAGCTGTGAAATGACATGATAGATGACTTCTAGATCTCTTTTGAATGAAAATTGTTTTATTCTGATTCTTTTTTTTTTATCAATCAGCAAGCATTTATTCATCAATTACTGGGTTAGGCACTGGGGATACAAAGATAGAAATGAAACCATTCCTGCCCTCAAGGAGCTTGCATTGTATTGGAGGAGAAAACATGTACATGTATAAATATATTATATATTATAATATGTATGATTGTAATATAAGTATTAAATATTTAAATAAAATAAATATAGCTGTATATAATGTATAATAAAATAAATAATATAGAAATGTATAACATATATAAATATGTATATACCAGAAATAGAAATTCTCCCCTTTTCCTCCCTTGTGGTGCAGTGAAGAGAGCACAGGACCAACAATTAATAGACCTACCTTCCAGATTATGCTCTTCCACTAATTTGTTGCATGCAGTTAGGCAAGCCACTTAACCTCAGGATTCTCCCCATTTCCTATCTATAAAAGTAATAAAAGTAAATAAGTAAAAAGTAATAAGACTGTACCTTCCTTTCTGCAGGAATGCTGCCCTCCTCAAGTGATATAATAGATATGGAAGTATTTGGAGATGAATAAAATTCATTTCAAATACAAGAGGTTCAAATACAATAGCAGGGACCATGGTTTTTCCTTTCTTTGAATCCCTAGTGCTTAGCACAGTGCCTGGAACATTGTTGTTTAGTCGTTTCAGGCTCTTCATGACCCCATTTGGAGTTTTCTTGGCAAAGATACTGGAGTGGTTTGCCATTTCCTTCTCCATCTCATTTTACAGATGAGGAAACTGAGGCAAACAAGGATAAATGACTTGCCCAAGGTCACACAGCTAATAAGTGTCTGAGGCCAGATTTGAACTCAGGAAGATAAGTCTTCCTGACTCTAGGTTGGGCGTTCTCTCCACTATGCCACCTAGCTGCCCTGGCATATAGTAAGTACTTAATAAATGCTTGTTGACTGTGACTGACCAACTGACATCTTTTGATTGCCTTCATTCTCTTCCAGTAGCCTCTCCAGATCCCGAGGCAGCCACTAGAGCTAAATGTGCTTCTCTCCCATGATTAGCTCACCTGGTCATGTCCACCAGCTCCTTGGCTGTTCAAGGGCACTGGCCTGATTCCCTGAAAGTGAACTTGATAGTTTGGCATCCAGGGATCCAACATAGTCATAGTGTCCTGAGCCCAGGCTGCCAGATCTTGCAGGGCTTGGGGGAAGGGAAAGGAGAATTTGCGGCATGTGGAGCAATTATTTAAGTGGAATGTGACTCCTGAGAGGGTACCAAGTTCTGGCATAGAAAGTCTACACCCAGCTGTCTTCTCAGGCTACTGAAAGTGCATGTCTCAGCAGGAAGAGAAATGTAAATTTAGATTCTTCCCAGAGGGTAGGGAAGACGTGCAGTTTGACAGTATGTCCCTTGGTGAATTTTCAGTTAGAGATATCTTGTTCACTGGCCATATCATTGTCTTTTATCCTTTCACGGGGAAAAGGGGCTGGTTCCTCCCAAGTAACTTGTCCCTTAGGGTATCTCTCTCCTTAAATAAATGACCCTGAAGTGCAAAATATTGACCTGATGCAATTATACGGCCCTAGATGTAGAGCTGAAAAGGACTTTAGAGGCCATCTAGGCCAAATCTCATTTTACTGATTAAGAAACTGAGGCACAAAAAGGTTAACCTGTCCAAGGTTACACAGGTAATAAATAATAGAGCTGGGATTCAAACCCAAGTCCTCTGACTCTAAATTTAACCCTTTTCCCACACTGCACCAATGCTGTCTGTCAATCAGAATAGAAATGCTCTCTTTAAGGCAAAGAAAAACTGGAAGACAAGAGGCTCTGCTGCTTTCACTTTTAGTCTCTGGAGCCTTAGGAGAGGAAAGAATAACAATACTTCCCATTTCCCTTTTAACTTTTCAAAATCACTTCCCACACCTATCATCTCATTTGATCTTCACAATAATCCTGTGAACTAGTTAAGGCTGGTATTTTTGTCCCCATTTTGAATTTGAGGAAAAAGAGGTAAGATTTTAGTGACCCCTTCAAGAAGAAATGGAGGTGAGATTTTAGGGACTTCTTCAAGAAGAATGGAGGGGAGACTTTAGTGATCTCTTCAAGAAGAAGTGGAGGTGAGACTTTAGAGGTGAGAATTTAGTGACATCTTCAAGATAATGAAACTACTTGCTCCACATAGCCAGTACTAGAACTTGAGCTGCTTGATTCCCAGTCTGGTCTCTTTTTACTAGACCATTCTCCAGCCCCTATAAGTTCAGCAGAATAGATGTTTTCATCTCCATTTAACAACTCTGAGGAATTTGAGGCACAGAAAAGTGAAGAATCCCCTAATGTCTTTGAGCCATTGGCTGTGTTATCATCCTGTTGCAATCTTCTTTATCATTTGAGGGCTGGCTAACATGATGCCTTCTCTGTGAAACCTTCTCTAATTTCTCTCTCTCTCAGACAAAATTTTCCTCTCTAGTTCTTGGAGCAACAGTTTAGGAAGATCATTGGTAAGATAGAGACTATCTAGAGGAAGGAACCCAAGATGGTAAAGGGTCTTGTGTCCATGCTGTATGGTGATTATTTTAAGAAACTGTAGATATTTCACCTGGAGAAGAAAAGATGAGTTGCAGAGTAGGATTTGAGGGCCACCATACTTAAATAGCTCAAGGCTCTCTGAGGCAGCCACATCATGGAAGAGGGCGTGGATTTGTTCTGTTGGGCCCCGAGTGATAGAATTATGAGTCATGGGTGGAATTTGCAGAGAGAGAGATTTGAGTTTGATGTAAGGAGAAAATGTGTAACGATTGGAGCTATCCAGATAGGAAATGGAATGCCTTGAAAGTAGTGAGTTCCTGTTTACTGGAAGTTTTCAGGCAATGGTTGGATGACTACGTATCTGGTATATTTTAGTGAGGATTCTTTCTCAGCTATAGACTGGACTCAGTGAACCCTGAGATCCCTTCCAATCCCCAAATTCTGTTTTTCTTCTTCCTGGACACTCCTATAGCACTTTGGTTATTTCTATTATGTATTTACTATATTCTTCCCTATATGATAATTATTGATACATATGTATACATACATATGCATATATGTGTATATACATATATGTGTGTATATATTGTGTGTACACACACACACATCTCTTCTCTTTGACTCTGTGCTTGTTGAAGACAGAGATGTTGCCATAGTCTTGAGGGGCCTTGTAATTGCAGTCAATAAATATTTACTAAGTACTTACGTTTAAAGACAATGATAAGCCCTTGCAAGGAGTTACAGAGATTCCAAAGGCAGGCTCTTTACCCTTGTGGAATTTATGATATAGTAGGAGATGAGGCAAGGATATACAACTGGAACACAAGTACATAAGAGAAGTCCACATGTGATGCTAAGTGTCAGGTCAGAAGAGGAAAAGGCTATTTCTCACTCCTGGGTTCTGTATTTAGAATGTGTTATTGCATGTGTGTATATGTATGTATATGTGTATATATATGTGTGTGTGTGTGTGTGTGCGTATATATATATATATATATATATATGTATATATATATATATATATATATATGAAATAAGTGTTTGAATGATTTAAAAAATGAATTTGTCCTTACATAACCTCACAAATACAAGGCAGGTAGAGGGAAGTCCAAGTAGGGAAATTTAATACAGAAAGTTGTGTTAGCAGGTATTATGTATTCGCTTTGTACATAGCTTTTGTGACCTTATGTTCTTGTTGTTTCCTCTCAATGGAATGTAAGTTCTTTGAAGGTAGGTAAATGTATCTGCTTGTTTTGAATCCTAATCCTATAGTGCCTGGCATATAGTAATTACTTAATAAATGCTCATGGAAAAAAATTGATTAAGAAACCCATATGAGAAATGCACTGCCATTTCCTGGTTGAACTGGCTTACCCAACTAGGAAAAGAATCACTGGCCTCATCAGAGAGAAAGTAACAAACGAGCATGGGGAGGAACTGGCCAGGCCTTTCTTTGCCCTGGAGTTACAAAGAATCCATCTCCATTAATCCAACTGAGACAGCAGTCTGCCCACTCCCCAGCCAAGGTTTATGCTGAAGTCAACATTAATCTCCAGGATTCCAAATCATGGCCCTGGGATGAAACCTCTTTCAATCCCCAGGGGGGAGGATGCAGTGAATGTTTATAAAGGTTTTACTTTAATTAGCTGGAAGCCAGCTGCATCTTATTGGTTGTTACCATAAATGTCTTAGCCCCAGAGGTCAATCTCATCTTTTCCATATTTAGTGTTGTCAGAGAACTGATAAAACTGATGGCAGAGAGGATTAGTCATCTTATCAATGAGTATTTTATTAAATTATTATTATGTATAGTAGAAATATTATTTGATAATATTAAAGCATATTCTTAAAATGTTATTAAAGCAGTGAGGTACCATGGAAAGAGCCCTTATCTTGGAATCCAAAGGGTAGAGTATGAGTCCCAGTTCTCTACTTAATCAAGTCACCTAATTGCCTAATATTTGTTTTTAATTTTATTTAATGCAATTTTTCATTTTTACACTTTTAGTTTTATTGATGTGTTTTATTAATCTTTAAAATGGAGAGAATAACATTCCCACTGTCATCCTCACACAGTTGTGGTGAAGAAAGCCCTTTTTAAACCTTAAAAGCACTGCAGAAAGTGAAGTTATTTTTAGGCAGCCGTGCCCAAATGTCGCCTCTTCTATCAAGCCTCCTCTGATCACCTCAGCTGCCTGGGAGAGCTCTCCTTTGTTGGATTTCCTATGGAGCTTTGTTTATTCCTCTCATATCATGTTTTTCATATGCTGACTTGAAGTGTAGTTACTTGTCTTTCTGTCCCTTATTAGGCAGTTAGATCCTAGAGCACATTTTTGTATCCACCATAGCAGCCACCACAGTGCCTTGTATTTAGTAAAGGCTCATTGGCTGTTGGTTGAATGAACACAATGTGCCCAGGATTGGGTTGGTGCTGTGGGGGATACCAGAGAAATAGGAGACACAGTCCTTGCCCTCAATAAGCTTGTACTGTACAATTGAGGAGACAAAGACTTGAATGTGTCAAATATCAATAACGTGCTGATGGTATATAATGGAACACTGGATTGTATCATATTGATTCTATGTGCAGGCCTTAGCTGAGTCTGGGCTTTAGAAATTCAGAGGAGATCGGGGAAAGTACTGTGGTCTGGGGTCATCAGGGATAGTTTTATGAAAGAGAATTAACAACATAGGCTTTGGAACGTGAGTAGAATTGGTCTAGGCTAAGGAGAGCAAATTCCAGATAACAGAAACAGCACAAGCAAAAGCCCAACTTCTGAAACTGTTGGAATGGTTCGTGAGTTTGTAGTCTAATTTCTTTTAGTTCCTGTCTAGTTTCGGTCCCTGAACTCACAGGTACAGGCTGATTTTTATATGGCCTATTGGCAGCAGAGACCTAATAAATCAACTTGGGATGGGAGGGTATTTCATTTTTTTTTCATATTTCAGTTACGCTAGTTTGCTGATTTTGAAAAAAACTTTTTGATTTTGCAGCTTTGATCCAAAAAGAGCAGTCCAGCAACTCAGAGCCTGTGGGGTACTGGAGACCATCCGTATCAGTGCAGCTGGTTATCCATCCAGGTAATGTGCCTACCAATCAATCCAAGAGTTCTTAACCTGGAGGCTGTGACTTTATTCTTTAAAAAAAAAGTACATAGTTTTAAACATTTAATTTTTATATTTTCTCAACTAAATGTAAACAAAAAAATTTAAAATTCATTCATTTTTTTTAATTTTGTATTCCAAATTCTCTCCATCCCTTCCTTCCCTTCCCCCATTCTTGAGAAGGCAAGCAGTTTGATATATATTATGCATGTGCAGTCATGCAAAACAAAAAATGTACATATTTTAACAAATGTATTTTGATGTAATTGGTTTCCCTTGTAATCCTATGTATTTATACATTAAAAAAATATTATTCTGAGAAAAGAGCCAAAGCTTCACCAGACTGCCAAAGAGGTCCATGATGCAGAAGAAGTCAAGAACTCTTATTCTAATCCAGTCTTCTTGGGATTCCCAGATGTGGCATCTCCTTTAGAGATGTGTGTGCATACAACTGATGTCTTCAGGATGAGATGAAGTAGCCCTGAAGCTGGTCTATAATGCAGGTCACAAAAATAAGGATAGAGGTGTCAATAACTACATCTTCCATCTCAGAAGAAATTGTGCATTAAAGGACAATGTGCTATTAGCTGTCACTTGAGAACTTTAGGTTTGTGCATGTAGCACTCAAATACATGTTTTCTCTAAGTACTTTTTTTTTCTCCTGCAATTGGAGTATACTGCCATTGGGAGGCAGTGGGCATCTCAGTTTCGTTTCAGTGGTCTGAAGTAAAGACTTCTCTTTTGTCTTTTTTTTTCCTCTGAAGAATCTTCAATCCCATCTTTGGCCCCCAATTAAAACTTGCCCTTAGGAAAGTAACTGACAAACCCATTCATACTCTAAGGAATCACTGCCTGAAAGGACTGAAACAGCAGATATCCCTAAAAGAGGTAACATGTTCATCTTTACCCAGCAGTGACACCATTAGTCTTTCATGTCTTTTCCTAAGATCAACTCTTCTAATTTAATTGCACTTTGACAAAGATAGAAACCTTAGCCAAAAGAATGAATCTCTGTCTTTAGCAAATTTTTGATATTTTTGAATGAATGAGGGGAATTAAAGACATAGATGAGTTTGGAGAGTGACGTTTTCTTTTGTTTTGGTTTTTGCTGAAGAGGCATTGACAGTGGTTTTCCTGGTACCCCTGAAGTGGTTCCACTTCAGCCTAATTAATCATACTATCCTTGAAAAGTAATTCCTTGGTTTTTAGAAGAGTCTGGACCCCCCAAACAGACTTCCCCTACTCCTGGTTATTGATGTTACTCTAGGGCTTCACCATCATGTCAGGAGTTGAGACTCTGCTTTGGGAGAAGATGCATCATGGAGCTCCCTCCCATCCTTCCAACCTTTCCACCAGGCACTGTCTGGCCCCTGCAGTGGAATCATTTCACAGGCCATGGATAATTAACCACAAACAGCTCAACCATAGGAAAATCTCCAAATGTTGAGGCTGGGAAGGAAGATGCTGATAGAAACAAGAATTTAGGTTTGGCCTGAAAAATGTAAGGCGTATGGATAAAATGATTTCCCAAGCCATGTTTCAAAACCTGAAATGACACTCTTCAGGGTGATAAGCTAGTGAGAATGAGAAAATATATCTCTCTCCCTTCTCTCAACTACTGTGCTTCCTTCACCACACAGCCCTTGTAGAAAAAAGACTTGAAACACCTTAGGGTCTACTTGATTTCATTGCTGACCCTGGGGCATCAACAAAAACAGCTAATGACCCTGTGCATAACTGGCTCTGCTTTCCCTTCCAACCTGATTAGAAGACTTTGATCTGATGTGTGCCTCATCCTCTGCAGCATCTGGTATCAGCTGTTTAATTTAGGGAAAGCCAAGGGGAGGAAGGCTAAAAGTTCAGTAATTCACTTCATTGGTAAGGCTGCCATGATGCCAGTTATGGTTCCCTTTATCACCTCCTAAATCTGTGAGTTAAGTCTGCATATCAGAGTGTGGATCTGACAAGCAGCATAGAATTTTTATGTGGGAAAGCAGCTTGTGAGCTCATCTAACCCAATGTCATCTTACAGATAAGGAGACTGAGGGCCATAGGGGAAGTGACTTGTCAGAGGTCACACTGGCTGAGCTGGGTCTAGAACTGAGTTTTCCTGGCTCCCAGTTCTGTGCTCTATGAGGCTGCCTCTCTGAGACAATGCTTTTGTGTTAAAAGTCAGTGAGCTATCTGTCAATAAACATTTATTGAGTGCCTACTCTGTGCCACCTGGGGACATGAATATGAAAAAGAAAGACAGTTCCTGCCCTCAAGGAGCTTACAATTTAATTTGGGAAGACAATGTGCATAAGGATGTTGAAGGAGAGTGGTGTTAGGGAAGAGAAGGTACCTCTTTAAATGGAAGCATTGGGAAGAGTTCTTTTCTCCACTCTCCAGCCCTCCAATCAAAGAGGCAGATGGGGTGTGAGCACCAAGGCTGATACAATCTCATGGCACAGTGAGTTTCCTGATGATGAGGTTGCTGGGGACTTGATAGAGTACTGTCCAAAGGAGGGCAGCAAATGCTTTATGGGCTAATTTGTGGATAGCTTCAATCAGGATACCTCTGATATCCAGAATAGGGAATGGCAGTTCAGAGGTGACGTTAAGCTCTTCAAGATTGTTTCCTCCTTGCTGGAATAAGGATAGGAAGGTAAAGAGAATAGCTAAAAGCTTTTCCCACTCTTACCAGCTTAGAGTCTAAGGATATACATGTAAGTGGTTTCCTCACTTTCCCAGACTTGCGGGCCAAGCTGTGCCTCTAGCTGCAATTATCAGGTTAAATACAGCTATGCCAGGGATTCACAGGACCACTTAGGAGATATCTGAGGATGTGTCTAGCCTAAGAATTTCAAGGGGATATTATAAAATATCAATTCACTTTAAAGGTCACAATAAGAAATTAAAAAGATACCACACATCATTCTTGGGGCCTGCTTTTGCACGCTGTTGGTATCGTTCCCAAATCAAGTATTGAAGGGTCACACAATTCCAATCAATCGTAGGCAATCCTAGCTGCCTTGTATAATCCAGGATTATTCGTGTTGGATCTTGGGCTCAATGGGTGGCAAGATGGGCCAGACAAAGGAATTTTCCATCTGGAGATTTTTTAGGCCCATGAAGAGCAGACTAGGTAATCGGGGCAAATCTCAGCATCTGGCAATACCAGGAGGTCTAGGGAGATGGGAAATCTGGCAACAATCTCAGGTGGATGGTTCTGGTAGGCTGGTAAAGCAAAAAGTGAAAGAAACAGACTGAAATTCAGACAGATAGTGCCAGGGAAGTCTGAGAACAGGTAATGCAGCCTAGGATTCAGGGACTAAACAAAGGCAGATTATTTGGGATATAAGGGAATAATTTGAGTACCGTAGGAAGGTGGAAAATAAAACATGGATACAATCACCAGGGAATTACAGTGTGAAAGGCAGGAATCTGGGGACACAAAACAAGTCAAGCATTTATTAAGTGCTTACTGTGCCAAGTGCTGAGGTTACAGACACAAGTAAAAAAGAAATATAGACCTTGACCTCCTGGAGCTTACATTCTAATGGGGGAAGACAACACATAAAAGAGAGCTGAAAAGCAAGTTACTAGAGCACAGCTACTAGAGCCCAGGTATGAGAGCAAACTGGAGCCAGCCAGAGGGCTGGTGCTGGTCCTTCTAAGCTGTAGCTCCATGGTGTTTTTGACTCTCCTTTGCCAAGGGGCCAGATTAGTTCCAGAAAATAGTGGAGAGTTGAACCTAAAGGTGAGAATTTAATGGTTCCAGCTGTGGAGCCAGAGAGCCAGGCTGCTTAATACACATTGCCATCTGCTCCCCTCCAGTTTTGTTGCCAGCCCATATGGGGCTATAAAGAGCTCTCCTGTTTTTGCTGGAATCACCTGATTCTCAGGAAAGCCAACTTGGGAGAACTGGGAGAAGATGCCACTTTTGGAGCCTCTGGTGCTCTTGTACTTCTAACATACTGTGTTCACAATGGTGCGTCTTCCTATCTACATTTCATTCTGCCTAATAATGATACATATAATAATAATATTGAGAGGCGTAGTGGTTAAAGAGCCAGCTTAATATCCTGTCTCTTATACTGATCTCTCAGTGCTACAGGCAAGTCTCTAAGACTACTAAGTTGCAGAGAGCATGCAGATCTGAATTGTTTGAAGGAATTTCCTCTCCTGAGAGATCCCTATACCACTGAAATCCCAAGTCTACTCCTTATCCCTAGCCCTACAATAGCAGTAACATTCTTTAAAGACCTTCTGTCCCTTGATGGACAAGGCTTGAAGCAGAAATTGTATACAATATCATTGCAGGCTGCAACAAGTTAGCACTTACTGACTCCTAGAAAGATGATATCAGATGGTCAGAATTATGCAGCAGCAGCAGCTCACTCTTCTTCCTAAACTAACAGGTGACAAATCTCTGTTCTGCAAAAAACAAACTTCAAAGTATCTGTGAGCATACAACTAATAAACTATACTAGCACTAGAGCATTATTACAGATGAAGTATGATATATAATATTTTGAATATAACATTGACTCCTGAAAATTGAAGACTTTTCTGATAGATGTCAGGGCTCTCAAGAACTGATGGTTAAATTTTCCGTAGGAGCATTTCCATCTTGGAAGTCAGCAAATGCTACAAATCAGAGCTTGGCTTATTATTTGGTTGATAGTCTGGACTTAATAAAGTGATGGAGAAAATATTAATAAGTCAGATTGTACTTAAAAGTATGTTAAGCTCTGAATTAAGCAGTGTAGGGACTGTAATGCTTCTGGAAAACATGGCTCCTGCCTTCTAGGAGCTTACAATCATCCTGGGGAGATAAGATTTAGAAACATGTAAGAATCAGAAAATGGTGCGATACTGTATATAATCAAATTCAATTTTTTTTTATAAAAGGAGAGATTATTGTATGCTGCAGTACTTTGAGGAAAGTAACAAGAGTTAGGCATCTATGGGTGGGTAGGATTTTCATTAAA